AATCAAAATCAAACACTTTTGAATCCATCTTAACCATCCATATATAGTTATGGAAGCGTCAAACGTGCTCCATAATTATCAAAATTAAAATTAAATAATAAATAATCTAATTTTTTTAATTATCATTTAGAGTTCTTGATAAAATAAAACTCTTAATTTAAGATAACTCTTATCTTTAATTAAGACAAAAAATTTTATATTGTTTAAATTGAGACAAATATGTTTTCTTGTCTAGATTAAGACAAAAAATATTTTTCTTGTCTTATATTAAGACAAACACATTTTCTTAGCTAAATTAAAATCAAACATTTTTTTTTGTAAATTCAGACAAACATGTTAAAGTTACCATTTTTGTACACAATTTAATTAATCAAATAAAACATACATTTCAACTTAAACAAGTTGAATTTTATGAAGTTAAGTGCGAAATTTATTTAGACATAGATATTCTGAGCTCCAATAAACTTAGAATTATTCTTAATCTCATTAAAAAATAATTCAAGTTTATTAATCATGAACTCACTCTACCACAGATTCATGGTTGCACTCTTGGATTAGCTATAATTATAAGAAACAATTCAATACTTGATATTAATTATTAGTTGTCTAATTGCAAACCTTATATTGTGAACTCTTGTAATCATCCAATGACAAAAGGTAAAATTAACGTTTTACCCATTATGTCAATTTTATCCTCTAGTTTTAAATTTCATTCAATTAGTGATTCAATACTTTAAATCTAATCTTTTGAGTATTTAGATGTGATGAGTAGCTAATTCATAAATCCGCCGGCCTAGATTGCTAACCAATCCTCCTAAAATTAGATTCAATTTTTAGATTCAATTAAAATACATGTCTCTTATGTATAACTCTTCATACAAATGTATCTTAATATCTCAATAGAATCATGGTACCTTAATAACTAAATAATGAATGCTTATTTAAAACAAACTCCTCATCTTATTATCAAAATGTACTTTCATTACAAATAAATTAATGAAATTAAGTATGAGAATATACTTACTTTTCAAGGCACCATATTCTCAAAATTCCTAACAATGGTTGCATTCGTTAGCAAGAACGAAGCATTTGTTTTGATGCACATGCTAATCGAAATTGTGCAAATAGCATTTGTAGACAGCTCGTGTGAGTATCAAGCTGCTCAAACTCATGTGTATTCATTGATGGTGATTGTCATTGTTGTCGGTTAGGGACTGCATGGCGTGGTTTGTGTAAAAGTATATGTGCAGCAATATGAATCTGATTTAGGTGATTACTATGTTGGGTTACTTATTCATGTGGCATAACATTTATATGTCACTCCTTAGCAATCACAAATATTACAACTCCCTTCTCATCTCACAGAATACTTGCTAAATCTTCATTGAATAATGCATGTAGCTCAATTTTGTGATTTTGTGAGTTTATCCTAACAACATCTTCAATTAGCTTCATCATGCCCGAAAACAACAAATCACTCCTAACACCTCTTACTCATGTCTCACCACCCTTGTAAGTGTCATCGATCCAATGACCACCGTATGTAATCATAAGCTTCACATTTGGCATGTCGCTGAAATTTAACAGGAAATAAGTGTCACAATCAATTTATCAAACATGTGTCACACAATACTTAAATCTAGTTACGCAATATCTAAATCTAGTCACGTAATGCCTAAAACCAATCACACTATTCTTAAAAACTAGACACGTATTGATTAAGTTACATAAAGCTTAAAAGGCAATCTCACAACGCCTAAGTCACGCAATGCCTAAAAGCCAATCATGTAATACTATAACCTAGTCACGCAATGCTTTTGTCCCACAATGCCAAAAACCCAATCACACAATGCTTAAGTTACGCAATGCTTTAGTCCCACAATGCCAAAACCTAATCACACAATGCTTAAGTTACGCAATGCTTAAAATCAAAGATGCCATAAGTTAGTCTCGCAATACCTAAAACCAGTAATACGATACCTAAAAACCAATAATGAAATGCCTAATAACTAATTGATTTGCTTGTTTTTAGTTAGATTTAAATTGCTAAAGTTATATAGGGTTTTAATTTATAAATATATCTAATCAATATCAACCCTTCAACTTTAGAGTTCTATGAATATAAACTAATAAATTCAAGAACCTTAAACACATACCTTGATGCAATCTCTGCTTTTTGGGATGACGAGATAGACAATATTTGGCAAGAAAGAGAAATTAAGATTTAAGTTTGTAATTTTTGTCTAGATGATGAAATAGAGAAAACTGAGACCATTTAATTTGTCTGAAATTGTTTAAAGAGTATTATTGTCAAGTCATTTCAAAAATTGGCTAAAAATAATTAAAATTATAATGGGAGGTATTTTTAAATTGGGCTTATGAAGAGAGTTATTTCTCACAATTTTCTCAAAATTATTTAGCTAATATGTTAAGATGAACAACTTGTTTTAGTATATATCTATACACTATATAAAAGTAGGATAATTTGATTACTGATCAATTTCTTTCAATTGCGTAGAGTCCCTCCTTATATTTTTTTGAGTTTTTTTTTATATTTTTTTTAGTTTTTTTTTCAAAACGACATCGTTTTGATATTAAGCCTTTTATATTCTGAATGTCGATTAATGGCTTTTTATTTCTTTTGGCCTTTTAGTTCATCGTTCTTTTATCGTTGATATTAGGTTTTTTACATCCCCAATTATTGTTAGACTCTCTTCTATTCGTCGGTCAATTTTCATTTCCTCACTTGTTGTACCGGACTCTCTCTCTTCCGCTGGTACCTACTTTCTCTCGTAATTAATGCTTTATTCATAGCATAGAAGAAGGATGCGTGGGTTGTTATAGATTGATTTTTTACTTTTTTCTTAGTTTTTCTATGCAAGGGAGGTGCTGATCGTATTTTACCATGTTTGTTTTTTCTTTTGTATTCTGTTAGTTTAGTTGTATCATGATTCAACATTTGTTCTTGGTTTTTTATTTGTTTGTTTATTGTCTTCTAATTTATTAAGGTTTTATTTCATTAGTTATTTATTTATTTTTTTTAAGTCTCTGTTCTATTATTTGCACTTATTATATCGATCACGGTATTTTTTTTTTACTTTGATTGATCTTTTTATTCTTGGTTTAGTGGGTTGGTTTATGATTTGTATTGATATGTTTATAGTTATTGAAATAGTAGTGGTACTCGATTTTGAGTTTTTGGTACTCTATTTTGTTTTTTGCCTTAATTGTAACGATCATAGTATTTTTTTTTACTCTGATTTATTTTATTATTCTTGGTTTAGTGATTGTCCTGGTAGTTTTTGGTGCTGTAAACTTTATCAATGAAATCAATACTTATGCCTTAAAGAAAAAAAACTTGATTTTGACCCATATTAAGGAACGACAAAAAGTTTTTTTTCTTTTTCTTCATTGATAGGCAACCTACACTGTTGCATAGCAAACGTTTTAGACTGCAACACAGAAAGAACTTTCTTAATTAGTTTCTTAGTAAAATTTAAACCTAGAGCCATAGAAAACAATTATAAGAATTCACTTAAGAATGAGTTCACTAATGAAAGGAATGCCGATGGCAACAAAGCCATCAATTATAAGAATTCACTTAAGAATGAGTTCTCCTAACAAAGTGTCCTTCAATTTAATTTTATGCAAATACTTTGAGCTAATCATGTATAGGATATCCGAGATTACATCAAAAGCAAAAGACCCATAGGCCCAGAATGATAGAGTAACTTCAAATGATCAAGACCCTACTCATACTATAAGTTATTATTGGAGGTGGAAGGAAATAGAGAGCATATAGTTCTTTCTGCCCCAGCCTTTTCTTCTCCCCCCTAACTCCCTTTAAACGTCCAAAACGAGTGTCTAGGAGATTCAATGTTCTTGCAATTCAGTTCCAAAATCAATAATTATGAAACTGTCAATATCCACTTTCTTAACTTCCTATCAAATATAATATTCAATTTTTTAAATAACAAATAATTGAAAGCATTATTCAAATGAATAACTTTTTTTTTGTAGTTTGTTATTTGCTTTTTACTTTCTCTTCAGTTTTTATGAAAAAAAAATAATAAAAACATTAAACTAATGGAGTCTGAATATTATTAAAAATAGGATAATTTGATTATTGTTCAATTTCTTTCAATTGAGTTAGAGTCCCTCCTTATATTTTTTTTTGAGCTTTTTTTTTCCTTATATATTTTTTTTTGAGTTTTTTTTTTCAAAACGACATCGTTTTGATATTAAGCCTTTTATATTCTGATTGTCAATTAATGGCTTTTTATTTCTTTTGACCTTTCAGTTCATCGTTCTTTTA